CTCCGAGGTAGATATCTGAGTCAGACACTCTCGTCCACCGAGCGATTCTATTGGTTTAAGATGAGCTGCGTATGAGGTAAGTAAGCCGTCTGGAGGGGCGGGGGTGGGGATGCATGGGGGCGTGGCCCATGTCCTCTGTCCAGAAGTCATGTCCCCATTTTTGGCATCTCTGGTTGGGCAGGGCTGGCGTCTCCACAGATTCCAGAACATATAAGTGGGGTGGGGAAGGGAAAGTGGGGGAGCCCAGAGACAGAAACAGAATAGTTGCAAGTGGGAGTATGTGTGTGAGGTGTGGGAGAGGGAGAGAGGGGAAGACAGGAGAAAAAGGGGTCTGAGAGATAGGTTTCTGGGTATATGTATGTTTCTGTGTTAAGAAAGAAAGCGAGAGAGGAAAAAGATGGAAAAAAGGGGGAGACAGACCCCACATTCCCCTTAGAGGCCCCATTCTTCCTGCCATGTAATTAGCACCCCCAGCACAGAGAGTCTAGTTAGGGAGGGGATGACCCCATTGGCCCTTCTCTGTCTTGTGCTTCTCCTGTATTTGGGGTTTGTCCTCTGGAAGCCTGTGTCCTCTTCAAGAGTCGCCTTGTGAGAGCCCCCACCCCTGTGACCCTGAGGGGCAAGATCAGTTGGAGGTGTCAGAGTGAACGCTCCCTGGTCCCTCCGTTGGGGATGTCACTGAAGAGGGGGTCACAGCCTCCTGCCAGCTGCCATTTGCCTGGAAGAAGAGAAAGACAGAGTATAGAAAACAGACAAGGCCCCGGGAGTCCTGTGTGGGCACAACATTACTAGGGAGAATGCCCCTCTGTCCTGCGAGAACTGGACGGAGAGGGGCTTCAGGATCCACTCACCCTCATTTCCCGTGGGCTGTACATCTGGCCTCCCCCGAGGTTCTCCCCATAGCCCCCTGGCCCCATCGAGTGTCGGAGTGACTCCACCTGCAGGCAGCGGAGGAAGGTGTGACAGTGAAGAGAACTCAGAGGAAAGAGGTCTTGGATCCTCAAGTAGGGGAAATGGAGTTGGGGAAAGCCCTACTGGAGAGGAGATGGGCATCTGACCTGGGAAGCAGAATAGGAATCTCCGTTGAGCCCAGGCATCCCCAGAAACATGTCTCCAGATCCTGAGAGATTGAAAGAGCCGCCAGAGCCTTGTGGGGGGCAGAGAGGGAAAAGTGTAATAGAGCCCGTGATGGTAGAAAGGGGATGAACCACAACTCTCAGCTCTTGTGGGGACGTGCTACTATACTCCAATTATCCACAAAACAACACTGCAACACGCAGAAAGAGCAGGCTGTTCCTTAGCCTCCCATGGCCACCCGTGGGAAGAAAGGCAGAACTAAGTTCACTGGAGTGGCCTCTGTCCCTTGACATCTCCAGCCTATCTCAGCTTGGTCCCTGTCACCCCAAAAGGCCCCCTCTCTGCTATGATCTTGCCTAGGTAGGAAGTGGGAACAAAAGCAGGAAGTGTGCAAAACAGTCAGCCGGGGTGACAGTAGGATCCACCTGCAGAGGAAGGGGGTGTCGGGGAGCTGGTGCGGCTGTGGCCCCCCTGGGTGACTGACACGGCGGTCTTGACAGCATAGATGTTTGCCTCCTCTTGGAACTTTCCGATGTTTTTCTTATAGCGAATCCTCTTGTTGCCAAACCAGTTGGAGACCTGTGGGGCAGAAAGGAGGGTCGGGTAGAAACATTTGCCTCCGAAGCCCTTCACTGAATAAGATGTGAGTGACAGCATTTTTTTTTCTTCTGGTCTCACTATGCTGTTGCCCAGGCTGGTCTCCAACTCAAGTGATCCTCCCACTTCAGCTTCCCTAGTAGCTGGCATTACAGGAACACACCACTGCACCTAGCTGAGATGCGTGCATTTTGCCTGACAACTCCTCCCGAAACCTCCATAATACCTGAGACACGGTGATGCCACACTTCTTGGCAAGCTCCTCCTTGGCCTCCTCACTGGGATATGGGTTACTCAGGTGGGAGTAGAAATACTCATTGAGGACCTCAGTGGCCTGTTTGCTGAAGTTACGGCGCTTTCGTCTACAGAGAAGGGAGAAGAGCGGTGAGGAGGGTGTTGGTGTCCTGGCAGGGCTGTCACATGGCATGACCCCAGAGTCACCATTGTCATGGAGTACCACATTGTGCAGCATGGCAGCTCAGGGTCTTGGAGAGGAATGGGAAGGAGCCCAGTGCTGGGGGCCAGCTCGGGTCCCTGGGCCCACCTGGCATCCAGGAAACGGGAACGCAGGATCATGACAGCCTCACAGGTGCTCTGCTTGAGCTGCATCTGGATGGCGCTGAACTTTCGATGGATGATGCTCACCATGCGTTCCATCTCTTTGGGGGCCACGGGCCTGGTGCGGCTCTGCTCCCTCAGCAGGTTCATGACATGGGTCGTGAACTCATTACATGCCTGTAGTGGGGGCCAGTGGGCTGCTGAGAAGGAGCCCTTTGGCCATGGGATTCCCCTGCAAGAGCCCTTCCCTCCACCCTCCTCTCCTTACCTGCTCATACTTCTCCAGCTCCGAGTGGTATATGTGACGGATCTGGGCAAGTTTGCTGCGATAGTCCGAGTGTTCGATGGAGTTGTCAGGGGACACGCCGCCCCCAGAGGCTGCAGCGGCTGCAGCTGCTGCTGCTGAGCCGCCCCCTTTCTCGGGCCCAGCCACACCCTCTGCCAGAAGCATGTTGTCCAAGCGCATCAGCTGTGGGTCCACCGGCTCCTCCTCCTGGGAGCTCCGAATGCTGAGGCCTAGCATGCAGGCGAGTGGACTTAAGGACCCAGGGACCCCATACCCAGTGCTCAGTCCTCCTGGTGCTTCCTGGAGAGCCAAATTCCCAGGCTTTGGTTCCTTCCCCAGTGCCCCTGACTCCTCACTTTCCTCAGGCCCCCAAGCTGTCACACTCTAGCCCTATAATGAACAGATTTGTGTCCCCAGAGTTGAGCAACCAGAGGAGGGCCCACATACCGGTTTTCTCCTTGATTTCACACAGGACGCTAAAGAGAGCAGGCTTCATTCGGTGGCAGTTTAGGGCGTGTTTCCTTGGGAGGAGTGGGAGTGGGGAAAGAGAAAAGTTGAGGAGCTAGAGAAACAGAGCAGGGGGCCTGAGAACAAGGAGGGAGGAGGGTCAATCTGCAGAGGGAGGAAGCGGATTGGGGGTGGAATGGAGTTGGGGAGGGGAGTTCTTGGGAAAAGATCAGCTCCCAGAGCATGGGGAAGCTGCTCAGCTTCAGGGTGACACAGGGAAGATGCAGGCAGCAGGCTAAAGGCCGGGGGCTTTGGGAGATGGTCTAGAAAAGTATGAGGAGGAATTTGGGAGTGGATGGAGAAAGGAAAGTGACTTGGTAGGTTTCAGAGGTAGAGAGACTGAGGCTGGGGTTGAGAAGAGTCGGAGTTTGAGGTGGCAGAGCGGGGCTGGGGGTGCCGAGCTAACTGGGGACATCAGTGTTGTGTGTGTGAAGGGGTCCTGGGGCTGAGCAGGTGGGAGGCTTTGATGCACCTAGTGTCTGGCTGAGCCGTGGAGAGGAGCTTTAGGGGCTCTGGAGAGGGTGTGGAGGTCTCCACATCTGGACAGAATGAAGGGGCTGGGTGGAGAGTTAGGGAAGAAGATAACATAGCCCAAGAACAGTTTCTGAGTCTGGGAGCCAGAGGGGGCTCCCGGAGATGGGGCTGTTCCAGGGGAGTGTGGGGGTCAGCAAAAGGTTAGGAGTGGGGAGCGGGGCCACCTGGGGTTCCCTCTGTGAAGGTTTCAAGGCCTGGGGGTGAAGGGAGGTTTGAGAGGGATCACTTTTCTAGGGGCTCCCAGGAATGAGAGAAGAGAGCTGTTGGATCCTGGAAGAGGGCCCTGGAGTTGGGGGGCTCCCAGAAGATTCAAAGCATGTGAACGGGGTTTGCTGGGTCTGTGTGGGGTCCCGGGGTGGGGGCACTCACTTGGCCTGGGCCTCGTCCAGGCTCTGGTCGGTGATGGTCATTATCTGCTGCAGAATGTCCCCGATGTCTTGCTTCCCTCGGCCTCCCGGGACCCCCCCGCTACCCCCACCGGGGTCTCCGCCACCGGGAGGCTCGCCAGGGCCCCCAGGCTCCCCACCCACCAATCCCAGGCCCCCCCGGCCCCCGCCTGGAGGGGGCGGCCCCAGTAGCCGCTCGTCCATAGCTGGGGGGGGGCCCTGAGGCCCCCTCCCTGCTCCGCCCCTCCCCCCCGCCTGGTTACTTCTCCCCCCAAACTCGCTGGGGCCGCTGCTCCCTCCGCCCCAACCCCCGCCCGTCTGCCCCCGGCTCCCGGCTCCCCCGAGGGTTCACCCCGGCACTGAAGGGAGACCTGGGGTACCGGCTGGGCCCCCCACAGGAGACCCCGGCCCCCGGCGGCGGAGAAAATGGAGCCGGAGAGAGAGAGGAGGCCCAAGCGGGGGTGTGTGTGAGAGAGAGGGAGGAGGGAGGAGGGAGAAGGGGGGGAGCGAGGGAGGGAGGCTGGGGGAGGGGAGCCGGGGAGGAAGAGGAGGGGAGAAGAGAGGAGGAACAGGGAGGAGCTGGGGGCGGAGAGAGAGACACAGAAACAGAGGAACTGAGACCGAGTGGAGGAGGGGAGAGGGAAGAGGGGCTGAGGGGAGGAGACGGGCCATCTGAAAAATATGGGAAAGCCCCCTGGCTGGACTTCCGCGGCCTGGGAGTGGGGGCGTGTTGGCGGCTGCGGGGGTCTGCCACCTGGGTCCTGAATCAGGGATCTAGGCGATGTGGACTCACGCCGCTGGAATGCCTGGGTTCACCGACAGCTCAGTTCATATTTCTTGTTCTAATGACTCCCCTCCCTGTTCTACTTAATTAAAACCAGGAGAGGGGGGCTGGGGGGGATAATTAGGGAGGTCTCCAGCCGCTGCTTAATGAGCCAGTAATTAACCAGCCAGGGAGGGGAGCTGGCCTCTGGCCAGACTGAGGAGAGAGGCGGCCTCTGGCCTCACCTTCCTACCCTTCACCCCGCCCTGGTCCCCCAGACACCAGTCTTCAGTCCAGAGGGGTATTACATTTATTCACACAACCAAAACATTGGACAGACTCAGCAGCAGTGGGGAGGGAGGGTGGGCAGGGCTGAAGGTCCATTCACAGCCTCTAAACCCCTCAGTCTCAGGGATGGGGGGTGCTGGTAGTGGGACTGGGAGAATAGTCTTAATCTCTCAGGTGCCCACCCACCTTCCCTTCTTACTGGGAGGAAGGGTAGAGCTGTCTCTCAGGTTATAACCTCTCAGGAGGAGGCCTGAGCCCTCAGACCCTAGTGCCTAGTAGCTCGACAATTGGTGGTGTCCCCACAAGTTAGGGAAAAGACTCCCAGCCACTCATTGAGATGGGTACCTGGGATCCCCCTTACTGCCTCAAGCTCCCATGGACCTGTGCAGGGGGGAGTTAAATCCACGTTCCACCTCGCCTGTTCCCAGAGTTTGAGGCCTTTCACCCCGTCCAGTTCCCAAGGAAGGTGATGTGGGCGATGAATATTGAGATTTGCGCTGCGTCTTTCAGTCTCTGTTACCCCCGCCAAGCAAGAGTTGAGGGCATGCAATAGGCTGCCCAGCTTTCAGACCAGGGGCGAGGAAGGGCTGGCTGGGGGCTCAAGTCTCAGCAGGTGTGTGTGGGGGGCCGGGACCTTTGCTCCTCCATTCGACCCCCACCCTGAACTCTCAGCAGCAACTCCAGGAGCTCCTGCCCCCCTGGAGGGAGGGGAGGCTCTGACCGCTGGGCTTCCATCCGCTGGCACTGGAGGAGTGGAGGCAGAGGAAGAGCTTTGGTGAGGGTCGGAGGGGAGGAGGTTCTTGAGAGGATCAAGGGTTGGTATGGGGAGGCATATAGGAAACCTGTGAAGGTGATGGGGTGCCTAGGGAGAAGCAGGAGTAGAACCCAAAAGAGAACAGGGCCAAGAGACCAGGAGGCCTGGGTTTGCCTCCTGGGGGGATGTCTTACCTGGTGACTGAGGATGGTGCTGTAAAGCTGTTCTCTGTCCTCAAGAGGACGGAGTGGGGCAGGGGCTTGGCTTGGGGGGTTTTGTGGGGTGAAGAAGGTGGCCCTCTGCTCCTCTAGGCGGCGGGACTGGGCTTCAGCCACCAGGTCCAGAAGGAGCTCAGTCTGCAGGGAGAGCAGGGAGGCCGAGCGGGGTCCTAGTGCTGGGGAGAGGGGTGTGGAGGGCTCAGACACCCAGAGAGGTTGGCAGACAGGAGCCGTGGGGGAGTGTGGATAGGGTGATGTGATTAGGGACTTTGGGTCAGAGGAGAGGCGGTGCAATGGGTAATCCCAAGGGGAGTCTGGAGGAGGTGGGGAGAGGGCCCACAATGGACTGGGCCTTGGTAATGGGATCAGGATGTGGGCACCAGGGTCAGGGCTCTCCCTGGGTGGGTAGGGGTACCTGTGTGGCGGGTCCCTGGAGGAGGAGGGGACGGAGGAGCAGATCGCCAAGGCCGAGTGGTGGAGTTTGGAGGGGGCCAGCCTTGCTCATCCTGAGGGGGGCCCTGATGCCAAAATATGTCCATTCCAGTCAAGCAGTGGTGGTTGAAGTGGGTGGAGTGGACAGGGGCTAGGTCAGTGGCCCGTTTCCTCTCTGTGTGTCTCTGTTCCTGCCTCAGTTTGCCCAAGCCTTTCAAGGCCCCTGTGTCCCTACATTTCTGCCCCAGATCCTCTCACCTCCCTTCTTTCCCAGTGTCAGCCTCCCCAACCCCGTGCCCAGCTCACCTGCTCACCATCCTCTTCTTCCTGGGGTCTCTCAGCCTCCATCCCCTGGAGGGGAGAAACTGGTGGGGGAGGGGTGGCTGGGATTTGGGAGGAGGGCCGGAACCTTGGGTTCCTGAGGGGAGTGGGGGCTGGAAGGGGTGGGGGTGAGCTGGGGGCTGGATGCCTGGGTACTGAGCAGGAAGCTGAGTTCCTGGTCAGCCCCCCCACGGGCCCCGCCCATCCCTGTCAACTTCCTCCATTCTCTTTTCCCACCCAAACATCTTGTTCAGTCTCTGTCACCCCAGGGGAGCACAGAGACTGGGAAAAACTCCTCCAGCTGCAGGAGTGGAGGGGGCTGATGGTGGGGAAGGACTCCTGGCAGTCTCATCTCCAGAGCCTCAGTAGCCCCCTAATCCCTGACTCTGCTCCCTCCACCCCACCTCCTCTTCTGCTCTTTCTGTCAACACAGGAACTAGCTACACAGGAAGTGGTTTCACTCCTCAGAATCCCCCTCCCCCCAACCAGGTCCCTTCCCTCCCTGAGATAGACCCTGCTGTAGGATTTGGCCCTCCCGATCTTCCCTCTTACTTACTGGGTCTGGGAGGGGGCATGGTTCCAGTGGGAAGTAGAGGATTCAGACCTAGGGATGTGGAGCTCTCAAATATATACATAAAACCCTAGCAATGGGTCCAACACGTATTAAGTATTCAATATATATGTATTGAATAATCCCTGACCTTCAGGTATTTATAGTCTATTCAGGAGATGGCTGGCAGCTGTGGCTCACACCTGTAATCCTAGCACTTTGGGAGGCCGAGGAGGGTGGATTGCCTGAGCTCAGAAGTTCGAGACCAGCTGGGCAACATGGTGAAAACCCGTCTCTACTAAAATACAAAAAATTAGCCGGGCGTGGCCACATGTGCCTGTAGTCCCAGCTACTCAGGAGGTTGAGGCAGGAGAATTGCTGGAACCCGGGAGGCAGAGGTTGCAGTAAGCCAAGATTGTGCCACTGCACTCCAGCCTGGGTGACAGAGCGAGACTCCGTCTCCAAAAATAAAATAAAATAAAATAAAATATACACTCTATTCAGGAGACAAGATGTGTACCAAATGTGAGAGTACAGGAAGGCTTCATTTTGGAAACTTATAGTTTAGTGCAGATGAGGGGCAAGGGAAAACCTATTTTGGGTATAAGAGATGTAGATATGGAAAAATGAGAGGCTGAGGTGGGAAGACTGCTTGAGCCCAGGAGGTTGTGGCTGCAGTGAGCCATTTGTGCCACTGCACTCCAGCCTGGGCAACAGAGCAAGACCCTGTTTCAGAAAAAGAAAGAAATGAAATGAAATCGAAAAGGGAGAGGACTACCTCTCTGGCTTGGTCTTTGATCAATGCTAATCAGGTTGGTTGGCATCAAGGAAGGAGCAGGGCAGACAACCATTTGGTACCTCTAAATGGCAGCCTGTCATGTTAGGGAGTTTATAGCTGAGTGATTTGGAATGTGAAATGTGATGAAGAAGAGATCTGGTCCTGCCACTTATTCCTTTGCAATCTTGGGCAGATCTCTGTGCCTCAATTTCTGAAAGAGTGAAATAGGGTTTTAATAGCACCTACTTCATAGAGTTGATGTATTAAATGTAATAAAGCACTTGATGCATAGTGGATACTCAATAAACTGTAGATATTATTGGCTTTCAAAATGCCTCATGACTCCATGTTTCAAACCTAGCAACATGTTGCTGCAAGGTGGACAGTTTCTTTAAGCCACTCTCTCCATCTACTTGACTTGTGGCCTTAGGAATCTCCTAAGTGGCCATAACTAAAAGCCCTAGGATGAGGGACAAAGTGTGTGCATCATCTAGTGCAGTGGTCTCCTATCTTTTTGGCACCAGGGAAGAGTTTCATGGAAGACAATTATTCCATGGTCAGTGGGGATGGGGGGCTGGTTTCAGTATGAAACTGTTCCACCCCAGATCATTAGGCATTAGATTCTCATAAGAAGCAAGAAACTTAGATCCCTTGCATGCGCAGTTCACAATAGGGTTCGAGCTCCTATGAGAATCTAATGCTTATGCTTATCTGACAGGAGGTGGAGCTTGGGCAGTAATGCTTGCTCACCTCCTGCTGTGTGGCCCAGCTCCTAAGAGGCCATGGACCAGTACCAGTCTGCGGCCCAGGGGTTGGGGACCCCTGACCTAGTGTGTGTGTGGGTTCTCCCTTGGCTACTAGACTCTTGCTTTCAGATAATACCCTAAATTATCATAGGGCCCCTAAATATACTTATTCTTGCTTTTAAACTATACTTACATCCTCCATTCAATGCAAATGCTGAGCCGAAAGCACAAAATGCTGACACTATGAAGTCACTCCCATCTTTTTTCCCATTCGTCTCCCCAACTCCTCCAAAAAAAGGTAACACTTCAAATCAGCTTTATTATGGGTGACAGATTTAGGGTTCTTAAATAGTGATAGCAGTGGCTAGAAGAAGCGCTTCATCCCCGCAGTGGAGTTTCTTTGTTGTGAGGGGAGGGAATGCAAGGAGTCATCAGCTGGGGCGGCCCTTGGCCACTTTTCAGCATCTACACAGTGCCTGGCACATAGTTGGTGTCCAATAAATATTTGTTAGCCATTTGTGGGCAGTGGGGACAATGGATGAAGGGAGCTCCCTTTGGAAACCATATATAGGAAAGAACATCTTACATCCCATATGCCTGTAGTTCTTGGTTCCAATTTAGGGGTATTTCCACTCCACTCTGCCCTCCTGTGGCCTGTCTTATTTTCTGGAGGAGGACTGGGCCTGCCTCATCCTAACATCGTAAACCCTCTTTCCAGAGCTGCAGCTTCTCCATGTGGAAGATGCCTGCTCTGGTGGGCATACATTCATTTTAGGAGAGAAACTAAACTCACAGCCCTTCACTTTTGGGGCTCCATCTTAAAACCAGGAAGGCCTTCCAGCCTGCCTTTTAACGGGTAATCATTTTGGAATTCCTCCCTACCATGTATTCTCCTATTTTTTGCCCTCTCCTCCTTGGTTTATGGGCATTTCTTGGTGGGCTGGGGGACCCCAGTCAAGTTGAGGGGATCCCCGCTCCGGGGACGGAGTAAGGCAAGAAGGCGGGTTTGGAATGTTAGAGGCAGGACCGCAAGCTCCCAGGGCCACCCAATCACAGGGCCAGTCATCCGTTGGGCCCCTGCCTCCGCGCCCGGCAGCCACTCCGTAGCTTCCTCGCATTATCGCAGGGTTGGGCCGAGGCCCGCGCATGCCTGCAGAAAACCTACGGCCGCGAGGGGGCGGGCCTCCTCCTGCTCCTCCTCCCGAGAAGCTCCGGCAATGAGAATAGGCCCTGCCCCCCCGCACAGCCAAGTCTACGGACCAAGTCCGAGCCTGCCGACAAGCTCCGCCCCCACGAGGGCCTGCTCCGGCTGACAGCGTCCGGCAGCGCGGCAGAGCCCCGCCCCCATGCGGGGGCACGCTTACAGACGTCGTGCGTGCGCGCGGGAAGGGCCCGGACTCGCGGCCCGGCGTGGCTTTGTGACGGGCTTCTAGTGGCCCCGCCCCTTCCAGCAGCGTCAGCAGATCCCAGTGGTTTCGTTGGCGAGCAACGTCCGCGGGCGCTAGCCCAGCCTGGTCCCGCAGCTCTCGGGCTGCCCCCAGCCCCAGCAGCAGCTGGGCTACTTCCACCGCTCCTTCCCGTGCCGCCAGGAACAGCGGCGTCTGCTCCTGCACAGGAGGAAAGAGCCAGGGGCGATATCAGGGCAGGCCACGCCCACAGGACTGGGCCTTTCTACCTTCACTTACGGGACCACTGGCCCCTCTCCCTTCAGGCTTTGCGAGTTACCGCACTTTCCATCTCTCCTGCGCCCGACTGTTTTGTGGGAAGCCCTCTGTCCCATCTAACCCTGCTGTCCTGGGCGTCTTTATCGGCTCCGGCCTGGAGAAGCGAGCGGGCGGCTCGGGCGTTGTTCACCGCAGCAGCCCAGTGCAGCGCAGTTTTCCCTAGGGGACGACGTGGGAGGTTGTTACCGCTGTTGGGGGCCAGACGCCTGGGTTCCTGTTTCCCACGGGTTCTGTCCTTGGGGGAAGGGCTATTTGGGCCGGTTGGTCCCTCAAAGGCGGGAAGCGTTGCCCAGGAGACTACCGGCCTGCAGGAAGTGTTGCCCTGGTGACGTTACCAGTGCGCGGGAGGGACAATGGGGCATTGTTCTGGGGTCGGTGAGACTGGGAAACCGTCTCCCCCGACGAGATCCCGCCCACTTTCCACAGACACTCTCTTCCATGCCAGTTCCCCAGTAAGCTGGAGCAGAGGGCCAGTGTGGTGTTGACGGTAGAAGTTGGGGGGCGGGGGGGAACTCACACGGCCCGTATTTCCACCACATCGCAGATTGACAACCTTAACAGCAGGATGAGAGGGAATGCCCCTCCACTGCACCTATATTTTGCACTCCATCTCCCACCCCATCTGCTCAACTTCTCTACAGCACACATCACCCCTTCCTCTACATACCCCATTTATCTCTGGCCCCCACGTCTGCTTGGGCTGCAATCAGTTCTTCAACCAGGTCTTCCACTGCCAGTCTGGCAGCCAGCATCAAGGGTGTGGTCCCGTCCTCTGTGCGAGCGTCCACTGCAGTTTGTCTGCTACGGAGCAGAAGCTGGGGAGACAGAGGGCCAGTGACCCCTGGGGTACCCTGGACTGCCAACTCAAGTTCCTTACAGTTTTAACCCCACTCGCAATCCATATTCAGCCATCCTCCGCAGTTTCCCTGTCAGGTTCCCAATCACACCAGTTTCCTCTTTGTCAAACTCTAGGGGATGCTTCTGTCCAGCTTTACTTGTAAGCTCGCCCCATTCCCTGTAGGGACCTCAGTGTGTGCCAACCTGGCAGACCTCGCGAGCATCAGCAGCCACAGCAGCATGAAGGGGTGTGCGCCCTGCGCGGTCTGGCTGGTTGGGGTTGGCTCCAGCCTCAAGGAGGCGGCGGGCAGCGGTTGGCCGGGAGAATCGGGCAGCCAGGTGCAGGGGGGTCTCCCCAGTGCCCACGGTGTGAGCCTGGGGACAGGCCCCTCCATCCAGCAGAGGTTCCCAGGGCCCAGGACATCCCAACCATGCCCCTTGGAAGGTCCTGGACTCTGCTTCCCCACAGCAAACCGCGGACATCAGGGGTGTCACCCCATCTGTTGGTAAGACATGAGTAATGGGTCAATCTAAATGACACAACAAGGGGGAAGGGACAACATGTAAGCTCGGAGAGAATCAAAACATAAGGTGTTGGGAAGCTAAGTTCCGGTTCTGTGTGGCTTTAGTCAAGTGACTTTTCTACTTTTCTCTGACTTCAGTTTCTTCCTCTGTAAAAGGAACCTGCAGCTTAATTCTCTGACATTCCAGGGCAGTGGTTTTCTCAAACGAGTCTGGATCAGATTCACCTGAAGGGCTTATTAAAACAGATTGCCTAACATCTTCAATTCCTGAGTCAGTAGCTCTGTAGTGGAGCCCAATAATTTGCATTTCTAACAAATTCCCAGGTGATGCTGATTCTGCTGTCTGAGGACCACACTTGGAGAATCATTTTTCTAAGGCACTAGTCTAAAATTAGTTCCTCTAGTTCTGATATTAAAGGACTCTCTGATTCTAATAGGGTCTAAAGACTTTTTTTTTTTTTTTTCTTGGTCTGGGTTGACTCACATACCAGGTCCACGGGTGTCCAGGTCAGGGGCTTCCATCTCGGATTCCTGGGGAGGAGTTAGCATGGCAGCCTGAGGGAGCTCCCCACAGCCACCACTCAGAGACCAGAACTGGCACTTGGAGGGTGGGCCTGTTTCTTCAGCCTTTGGGTAAAAGCAAGGATCAGTGAAGGTTGATTTGCTCTTTCAACCCTTCCGTCACTTCCAGATCATACTTGCCCCAGCCCGTTCACCTGGCCCACCTCCTCTCCCTCCTCAGGGCCTGAGCACATCACAACTCCGTCCTCATCAACTTCTGCCTCTGGCTTCAGTGCCCTGGAAGGAAATGGGTGGGTAGAGGTTACACGGAATTATGACCATCAGGGTCTCCAAGATTTCCAGTAGGGTTCCCCCCCCCTCTCCTTCCCCTATCTTTGACTTCTGCAATAGTATTTCTTATCTTTTCTAATTGTAAATATCACCATAGGAGAGACTTCCCTTCCTGAGCCTGGGTTTCTCCTCATTCTCACTTGAGGCCAATGCTGTCCTCGCCCAGTGGGGGCCGGCGTCGGTGGGGAGCTGACTGAGTCCTAGGCCGTCGAGTGAAACCAGGGGGCAGCCAGAGAGCTCCATGCTCTCGGCGTCGACGCCGGATGAGCTGGAGGACGAGAAGAGCCCCTAGGGCCAGGAGAATCACCCCAGCCACTGGGGAGCACAGCACAGGCCAGGGAAGCTGGTTGGCAGGGGGTGCTGGTGGGAGAGACAGAGTCACAAAGAGAGGCCACTCCTGGTGAGACTGATTACTATTGGGAGACCTTTGGACAAGTTTAATAGCCTGTCTTTGCCTTGGTTTCTTTATCTGCGAAATGGGGATGATAATATAGGTTGAGGTTGGGCACAGTGGCTCATGCCTGTAATCCCAGCACTTTGGGAGGCTGAGGCAGGTGGATCATATGAGGCCAGAAGTTTGAGACCAGCCTGGCCAACATGGCAAAATCCCCTCTCTACTGAAAATACAAAAATTAGCGGCCAAGTGCAGTGGCTCACGCCTGTAATCTCAGCACTTTGGGAGGCTGAGGCGGGCGGATCGCGAGGTCAGGAGATCGAGACCATCCTGTTTAACGTGGTGAAACCCCGTCTCTACTAAAAATACAAAAAATTAGCTGGGTGTGGTGGCGGGTGCCTATAGTCCCAGCTACTTGGGAGGCTGAGGCAGGAGAATGGTGTGAACCTGGGAGGTGGAGCTTGCAGTTAGCTGAGATCGCGCCACTGCACACCAGCCTGGGTGACAAGGCGAGACTCTGTCTCAAAACAAAACAAAACACAAAACCCAAAAACCAAAAAAAATTAGCAGGGCGTGGTGGCATGCCATTGTAATTCCAGCTACTCGGGAGTCTGAGGCAAGAGAATTGCTTAAACCCGAGAGGCAGAGGTTGCAGTGAGCCAAGATGGTGTCACTGTACTCCAGTCTGGGTGACAGAGTGAGATTCTGTCTCAGAAAACAAACGCATAAAAAAACAGGTCGAGTATCCATGATCCCAATCCCAAATCTGAAATGTTCCAAAGTCCGAAACTTTCAGAGTACCAACATGACGCTTAAAGGAAATGCTCATTGTAGCATTTGGACATTGTATTAGGAATGCTGAACCGGTATAATGCAAATATTCCAAAATAAAAAAATCCGAAATCTGAAACACTTTTGTTCCCAAGCATTTCAGATGAGGGATACTCAACCAGCAGTATGTGCCTCATGGGGTTGTGGGGGAGGATTAAATGAGGTAACAATGTAAAATGCTTGGAGTAAGGCACAGAGTGAGTATGATATAGCAGTTCTTTTTTTTTTTTTTTTTTGAGATGGACTCTCACTCTGTCGCCCAGGCTGGATGGAGTGCAGTGGCGCGATCTCGGCTCACTGCAAGCTCCATCTCCCGGGTTCAGGCCATTCTCCTGCCTCAGCCTCCCGACTAGCTGGGACTACAGGCGCCCGCCACCACACCCAGCTAATTTTTTTTAGTTTTAGTAGAGACGGGGTTTCACCGCGTTAGCCAGGATGATCTCGATCTCCTGACCTCGTGATCCGCCTGCCTTGGTCTCCCAAAGTGCTTGGATTACAGGCCTGAGCCACTGCGCCCGGCCTATTATTCTTTCATGTACTGAGTTGTCTGATACGAAGACAATTAGATATTCTCAGTCTGGTAGAGAAGATAAACCATCCCTTTGTTGGAGGGCTATGACAGAGGTTAGGATAATGTGCTTAGGGAAATAAGGAAGGAGACTGTAGAACAAATGGGCCAGTGGGAGATTCAATTAGAGAAAGCGGGGTTAGGGAAAGTAAGTCCCCACAAAGAACATTTTCAGTCTCAGTTGTCCTGTTTGATGCAGCCTCCATTGCCTGTTGCTAGCATGAGAGCTGGCCTGGGAACAAAGGTCAGAGAAAGTGGCAAGGGGTCACCTACCAGTGCCTGCATGAGGGTGGACAGCCAGCAGTGGTCCAGGCAGCAGGGGCTCCAGGGCTCCCACTGCAGCCATCGCAGCAAGGAAGCGGAGTAGAAGCCCAGGGTCCCAGGGACAGCGGGATGCCGGGTGGTCAGGGCCACAGCGGGACAAATCCACACCCATTACCACCACAAACCTGTAGGGGAGGCACCTCAGAGACCTCTGTGTTGGTCCTTGGCTCCCTTCCCTCCCTCTGCCCTCTTAAAAAAACTGGTGTCTGGCCCTTCCCTCCACCTAACTTCTTACCCAGCACTGAGGGAGTCGGTCTCCTTGCCCAGGGGCTGCGTTTGAGGGGCTGATCTCTCCTGATAGGAGGGGTCCCGAGTTCCTCCTAGCTTTTCTTCAGCCCGGGCCCCAGGATAGGGGTACACCATGTCCCTGCCGTCACGATCCTTCCTTACCCAGAGTCCCACCCTCAGAGTCAGGGACAACACCCGGGCCAGGGCAAACAGCTGCTGGTCTAGGGCTGGGGGGCTCAGTACCACCAGCAGGGCCAGGGAGGGCCCCCACTCTGGGTCCCCATCTTCAGGCCTGCAGTCACCTCCATCCCAGCCACACTCTGCAGTGTTGCAGCCTTTCTCACAGTGCCCGTTGTGGAAGTGATCGTGGCAGTACTGGTCATAGGCTGGACTGTGGGGTGAGGAGAGGGGGACTCAGGACCTCCCTAAAACCTGACTCTTCTCTTCACCCTAGAGAGAATTCCCCATATTTTGTGCCCTCCAGGGCTTTGGTTGCTAAGTGAGGGCAGCTGCGGAGCAATGAGCTTAGTCAAGTCCTGGATGGTAGTCCAGACACCCCAATGTTTGCTAACACCCCTGTCTCCCTAGACTGTCCCCTCTCTGTACCCTCCCAAGCTGTCCTCTGTTTCTGAAGGAGAGTCCAAGGCCCTTTTCCCTCTGTGAGGTGCTTACTGCTAGGGGAGATACTCCATGGCAGCAAGGCTTAGGGAGGGAGGTTTGAGGCCTGAGTTCCCACAACTCTCAGAGAGGAGCCCAAAGGCCACGCCCCACATTAAGTATTGATGCCACCCCATTACCCTAGGTTGGAGTCCAGAGTCTTCGACCCTTATTTAGTAATAGTTATTAGGGTGGAAACTCCCTGGAGCCCGCGGCTGTGGCCACGCTGTAACTCAGAGCCATCTACGTCCTTCCTCCTCCTCTCACCCACCCCTCTCCTTCCCTGGTTCCAGGGGGTTTCAGGCTCACGTGCAGGCTGGAGGGGTCTCACAGTCGTAGCCATCAAACAGACACTCTTCAGAGTCACACTGTGGGTGGCACTGCCCGTCCCGGAAGAGAAGCCAGCACCGAGAGTGGGAGGGGCAGCCCTTCCAGGGGTCTGGGACTCCCAGAGAGCAGTCCCCTCCATCCCAATTTCCTCCTGGGCCACTGCAGCCAGCGTCGCACGCCCCATCTCCACTTCTGCCCTCACACCCCTTGGCTCCGGGCTTCTGACACCGGGGCCCTGGAGAGCTGTGAGGGCAGGAGCATCGAAAGCCTGGGCCCCCCAAGCCCGTGGTCTCTGAGCAGCTGCCATTGTATAGGCATGGGGAGGGAGGGCCACAGCCTTTAGGAGCTGGTGGGGTCAGGCAGTCAGGACCCCCATAGCCATTGAGGCAGGCACAGCGTGGTGGGAAGCCTGGCTTAGGGGAGGGCAGACACAAGCCTCCGTGGTGGCAGTGATGGAGGCCGCAGGAAGGGGCCCTGTGGCTGCAGGTGGGGCCATCAAAACCCTGTGGAGGGGAGGGGAGATATTGGAGATGGAACTTGCATTATTCTTCCTACTCCCCATCGAGCAAACTGTTGGGTTAAGATGGTGCAGAGGGTCCTAGAGTCTCATATCTAAAAGGTGCCTCAGAGAGCATCAAGTTAATCATTTTGTGGATGTTGAAACCATGTCCCATGGTAATTACACACAATGACATATTACATTATTTTGAAAATGGATGAAGCACAGTTGAGTGCAACAACCTGATGGACTGTGGCATTATAGTGCAAGTTCTAGAAGACTAAACAGTTAATAGAATGCTATTATTATTATTATTATTATTTTTTTTTTGAGACAGAGTTTCACTCTTGTTGTCCAGGCTGGAGTGCAAAATAGTGCGATCTCGGCTCACTACAACCTCTGCCAGGTTCAAGCGATTCTCCTGCCTCAGCCTCCCCAATAGCTGGGATTACAGGCATGCACCACCACGCCCAGCTAATTTTATGTTTTTGTAAAGACAGGGTTTCACCATGTTTGTCAGGCTGGTCTTGAACTCCTGACCTCAGGTGATCCGCCTGCCTCGGCCTCCCAAAGTACTGGGATTACAGGTGTGAGCCACCATGCCCGGCCGGTTATTATATTATTATCTTACTCCTTAGAAATAGGATCATATGTCTTCCTCTTCCTCTAGAGAGGGAACAGGATACAGGAGGAGGACATAAGTAGATGTAAGTTATTATTAATACTGAAATTATTGGGTTAGGTTTATGGGTGTTACATTGTTAGAATAATAAAAGAAGACCAGGCATAAACCAATGTCAGTATATCAGGAACCAAAGCTTAAGATTAGTCTAATTCCATGCATCTGAGACCCATAAATACATACACATACACACACAGTTAAAATAACCTGTCTGAGGCCACCCACCACGCAGCTTGAGCTTGGGGAACTCCTGACCTTCCCTTAGGCAACGCCTGTGATTTCTGAAAATTCCATTCATGCTATCAGCTGCCTGCTTTTCCTTTGCTTCTGAGAGACACTTGCCACTGTGAACTTGGCATGGCTTTTTCCAATAATTTCCACATCTGTGCTCCCCGACAGTCCCTTCTGGGATTCCAACTGAGGTATTCTTGCCTTTTGTCAGTATAGGGGGCAACAGAGAAGGCAGATTTGTGGTCACTTGCCTTGGGGCAGTGGCAGATGAAACCCAGGGGTGATCCTGCTGTGGCCTCACAGGTCCCTCCATGAAAGCAGGGTTGGCTGTGGCAGGGGTCTATCTCCACCTCACACCATTGGCCTGTAATTGTGGGGGAGATTAGACGTCACACACTACATCAGTCACTGCCTCCGTCTTAGCCCATTCCTGGATGTTGGCCCAGTGCTAGATGTGCAGGTGAAGGGCTCCTGGGGCATCTTTTCTGGGTGGGGGTGGGCGTGGTGGCAGGGGATGGACCAGGTGATGGCTGCCACATGGGTGGAGACTATCTGGCTCTCCATGGTCTGCTCGGCTGTGCTCCAGACATGCTTGTGCCCCTTGTCCTGGGGCCTCACCTGTGTGTCCAGGAAGACACTGGCAGTAGAAGGCATTGGCCAGAGAGTGGCAGGCTGCAGTGCCTGTGGGGTGGCAGGGCTGGTCCAGACACTCGTCCACGTCTCCCTCACAGCGTAGCCCCACAAAGCCTGGAGGGCAGGCACAGTGGAAGCCTCCAGGTTTGGGGGTGCAGGTTCCATGGTTGTGACAGGGTTGGGACTGACAAGCATCAAGTTCCTTTGAGCAGTTCTGTCCATTGTAGCCTGGGGCGCACTGCAGACAAAGAGGGTTAGACAGGGAACCAGTGGATGAGCCCAACCTAATACTACAAGGGACCCAGCTCAAGACAGTTTGTCCAGTCCCCTACCTTCCAGCTCAACAGCATCACTCAACTCACCATCCGTCATGGCCATGCGTCACAACCCTTCTACCTCAACTGCCCATGAGACACAGTTGTACGGTGACACACAACTCAACCTTCCCCAGTCCCAAACAATCTCTATGACACACTGCCACCAAACACAGCACCATTTTTGGTAAAACCTTCCTCTCCTACTAAATACCCACCAGGCTCTCTCATACTTTATTAATTCATAAGCATCTACTGAATGCCTACTTTGTGTCAGGCACCGTTTTAGGCACTAGAAATACGAAGAAAGTTAGAACTCATTCCTATTTCCTGGGAGCTCTCAGTCAACCAGAGGAAAGAAATGGCTAGCATTTATTGCATGATTTATATACGTAACCTAAAAATCCCCCGAATGACATTTTATTTGGGTTATCTCATTCGATTTTTACTTTGCAAGTAAGGAAGCTGAGTCTCTGAAAGGTTAAGTGACGTGCAAGTCAAAAAGCTATAGGTGGCAGAGCTGGGAATCAATGAAGGTCTGTGACTCCATAACCAATGCTCTCAACCATTTTCTGCTTCTTCATGCCACTCAGCTAGTGAAAGAAGGGTCATTGGCAAGATCTGCACCACATGCTGGCTTCCTTGCAAGAGGAAGGAGAGTGTGCAAGAGTAGAGTACCAGGAAGGCAGGCTTCAAAGAAGGAGAAGGGAATTCACAAAGAATCCAAGGAGTGGTCAGAGAGCTGGAAGGAACAGGTGATGGGGGTGTTTTGGAGGAGGGAACTTCATAAAAGAAGTAAAACTGAGTAATGGGTGCCCAGAGGTTTACTACTGATCAGTATACTGCTTTTGTTTATGTTTGAAAATGTTCATAATAAAAGGTTAAAAAATAAAATAAAAAAGTGAGAAAAGAGGGTAGGTTAGGGGATCTGTCTTGAGCCTTCTCTCAAAAGTTATGGTTCTGGCCGGGCATGGTGGCTCACACCTGTAATCCCAGCAGTTTGGGAGGTCAAGGCGAGTGGATCACTTGAGGTCAGGAGTTTGAGACCAACATGGTGAAATCCCATCTCTACTAAAAATACAAAGAAAAAAAATTAGCTAGGTATGGTGGCAGATACCTGTAATCCCAGCTACTGGGGAAGCTGAGGCAGGAGAATTGCTTGAACCAGGGAGGTAGAGGTTGCAGTGACCCGAGATTGTACCATTACACTCCAGCCTGAGTGACAGAACAAGACTCTGTCTCAAAAAAAAAAAAAAAAAAAAGTTGTGGTTCTATATCTCAAAATAATAAAGGCCATATATGACAAACCCACAGGTAACATCATATTGAATGGGGAAAAGTTGAAAGCCTTTCCTCTAAGATCTGGAACAAGACAAGGATGCTCACTTTCACTATTTTTATTCAAGGTAATACTGGAAGTCCCAGCCAGAGCAATTAGGCAGGAGAAAGAAAGAAAGGGCATCAAAATTGCAAAGGAAGAAATCAAATTATCCATGTTCACAGGTGACATAATCCTATATTTAGAAAAACCTAAAGAAAACAGTTTAGAAACAAATTCAGTAAAGCTGTAAGATACAAAATCAATGTAGAAAAAGTAGTAGCATTTCTATACACTAACAGCAAACAATCTGAAAAATCAAGAAAGCAATCCCATTTATAATAGTTACAAAAAATAAAAACAAACAAATACATTTAACCAAAGAAGTGAAAGAGTACTGCAATGACAGCTATAAAACACTGATGAAATAAATTGAAGGGGACACAAAAAAATGGAAAGATATCCTGTGTTCATGGATTGGAAGAATGAATACTGTTAAAATGTCTGTGCTTACCAAAGTGATCTACAGAGTCATGCAACCCCTATGAAAATACCAATGATATTCTTTACAGAAATAGAAAAAACAACCCTAAAATTTATCTGAGCTGTAAAAGACCCAAATAGCCAAAGCAGTCTTGAGCAAAAAGAACAAAGCTAGAGGCACCACACTTCCTGTCTTCAAAATATACTATAAAGCGATAGTAACCAAAACAGCATGGTGCTGGCATAAAAAACAGACACATAGATCAATGGAATGGAATAGAGAGCCCAGAAAAACAAGTCCAAACATTTACAGCCAACTTACTTTCTTTTTTCTTTTCTTTTTTTTTTTGAGATGGGAGTCTCGCTCTGTTGCCCAGGCTGGAGTGCAATGGCATGATCTCAGCTCACAGCGACCTCCACCTCCTTGGTTCAAGCGATTCTCCTGCCTCAGCCTCCTGAGAAGCTGGGATTACAGGTGCACGCCACCACGCCCAGCTAATTTTTGTATTTTTAGTAGAGACGAGGGTTTCACCATGTTGGTCAGGCTGGTCTTGAACTCATGACCTTGTGATCTGCCTGTCTCACCTTCCCAAAGTGCTGGGATTATAGGCATAAGCCACCACTCCTGGCCAGCCAACTTACTTTCAACAAAGGCACCAAGTACACACATTGGGGAAAGGACACTCTCTTCAATAAATGGTGCTGGGAAAACTGGATATCCATATGCAGAAGAAACTAAACCTAGGCCGGGTGTGGTGGCTCATGCCTGTAATCCCAGCACTTTGGGAGGCAGAGGTGGGTGGGTCACCTGAGGTCAGGAGTTTGAGACCAGCCTGACCAATATGGTGAAACCCCATCTCTACTAAAATTACAAAAATTAGCTGGGCGTAGTAGCATGCGCCTGTAGTCCCAGCTACTCAGCAGGCTGAGGCAGGAGAATCGCTTGAACCTGGGAGGCGGAGGTTGCAGTGAGCTGAGATCATACCACTGCACTCCAGACTGGGCAACAGAGTGAGACTCCATCTCAAAAAAAAAAAAAAGAAAAAAAATCACAAAAAACGAAACCTCTATCTGTCATCATATACAAAATAGATTAAAGCCGTACATGTACAACTGGAAACTATGAAGCCACTAAAAAAAGAAAATTCGGCCGGGCATGGTGGGTCACACCTGTAATCCCAGTACTTTGGGAGGCTGAAGCGGGCAGATTACAAGGTCAGGAGTTTGAGACCAGCCTGGCCAACATGGTGAAACCCTGTCTCTACTAAAAATACAAAAAAAAAAAAAAAAAAGCTGGGCGTGGTGGTGGGCGCCTGTAATTTCAACTACTTGGGAGGCTGAGGCAGGAGAATCGCTGGAATCCGGGAGGCAGAGGTTGCAGTGAGCCCAGTTCGCGCCACTGCACTCCAGCCCAGGCAAAGGTGCGAGACTTGGTCTCAAAAAAAAAAAAAGTCATTTGGAAAATGCTTCAAGACATTGGTCTGGGCAAAAGTTTTTTGGGTAAGACCTCAACCCTCAACAGCACAGACAACAAAAGCAAAAATAGACAAATGTGATTACATCAAGCTAAAAAGTGTCTGTGCAGCAGAGGAAACAATCAACAGAGTGAAGGGGAACCTACAGAATAGAAGAAAATATTTGCAAACTATCTATCTGACAAGGGATTAATAATCAGAATATATAAGGAACTCAACAGCAAACACCACCACTACCACCACTGACAAATAATATGGTTTAAAAAATGGGCAATTGATCTGAACAGACATTTCTCAAAAGAAGAGATACAAATGGCCAACAGGTATATGGATGGAAATCAGGGAAATGTAAATCAAAACCACAATGAGATATCATCTCACACCAGTTAAAGTGGCTATTATTGAAAAGACAAGGGCCAAGTGCGGTGGCTCACGCCTGTAATCCCAGCACTTTCAGAGGTTGAGGCGGGAGGATCACTTGAGGTCAGGAGTTCGAGACCATCCTGGCCAACATGGTGAAATCCCATCTCTACTAAAAATATAAAAAATTAGCCAAGCGTGGTGGTCCACACCTGTGATCCCAGCTACTCGGGAGGCTGAGGCACAAGAATTGCTTGAATCTGGGAGGCAGAGGTTGCAGTGAGCTGAGATCAAGTCACTGTGCTCCAGCCTGGGCAACAGAGCAAGACTCTGTCGAAAAACAGGAAAAAAAAAAAAAACCCAAAAAATAGCAGATGCTGGCAAGGATGCAGAGAAAGGGCAACTCTCATATGCTGTTGGTGGGAATGTAAACTAACATAGCCAGTATGGAGAAAAGCATGGAAGTTTCCCAAAAATTAAAAAAAGATCTACCATATGATCAATCTACTGTTGATTACATATCCAAAGGAAATCGGTATCTTAAAGAGATATCTGCACCCCCATGTTTATTGCAGCACTGTTCCCAATAGCTAACATATGGAATTAACCTAAGTGCCATCAACAAATGAATGGAAAAAAGAAACTGTGGCATATATACACAATGGAATATTATTCAACCAGAAAAAGAATGAAATCCTATCATTTTCAGCCACATGGATGAGACTGAAGGACATTATGTTAAGTGAAATAAGCCAAGCATGGAAAGACAAATATTGCACGTCTCTCACTTTCACCTTTGTGCCACTGCCTTAGTTAGTCCTGACCTTTCTTGCATTCCAGATAGAAACTTGCATCAGCCTCCTATTGCATGTCTAATATTGCTCCTCGCTCACATGTGGGAGCTAAAAAAGTTAGTCTCATGGAAGTAGAGTAGAATTATGGCTACCAGAGGTTAGAAAGGGTGGCAGGGAGGGGGAGATGAAGAGAGGTTGGTTAACGGATACAAAATTATGGTCATATAGAAGGAATAAGTTCTAATGTTAGATAGCAGAGAAGGATGATGATAGTTAACAATTTGTATTTCAAAATAACTAGAAGAGAGGATTTGGAATGTTCTCGACACAAAGAAATGATAAATGTTTGAGATGATAGATATCCCAATTACCCTGATCTGATCCTGACACATTGTATGCATGTATCAAAATATCACATGTGGCCAGGTGTGGTGGCTCATGCCTGTAATCCTATCACTTTGGCAGGCTGAGCGGGTGGATTGCCTGAGGTCAGGAGTTCTGAGACCAGCCTGCCCAACATGATGAAAACCCCATCTCTACTAAAAATACAAAAATTAGCCTGGCGTGGTGGTGCGTGCCTGTAATCCCAGCTACTCGGGAGGTTGAGACATGAGAATTGCTTGAACCTGGAAGGCAGGGGTTGCAGTGAGCCAAGATCGTGTCACTGCACTTCAGCCTGGGGGATAGAGCGACTCTGTCTCCAAAAACAAAAAGACAAAACAAAAAAACCTCACATGTACCCCATAGATATGTACGACTATTGTGTGTCAATAACAAAAGAAAATAAAATGGCAACCACACACACAAAAAAGGTTGTGGTTCTAAGCATATGAATCAGGCTGCTTAGACTTGAATGCCAGTTTTGCCTCTCCCAGCTGAGTGACCTGGACCACGAAGAAGAGACTCTAATCAGCCTGGGGGAGAAGTTAGGGACATCTTCCTGAGGAAGGTGCCCCTGAACACCAGCCCGTGGAAGAGGGGTTGGGAAGGCCATTCCAGGTAGTGTCAATAGCAGGGATAAAGGCTGAGAGGCAAGAATCAGTATGGGGTATGTGGGAAAGTCAGCAGCAGTTTTGTGTTGCTGGAGCAGAGAGTAGGAGGGTGAGATGGGGAGAGCTGAGGCCTGAGAGGCAGGCAGGGCTGGGTCATGCAGGCCTTGGACTTTATTCTGAATGAGGCGGGCAGCCACTGAAGGTTCAGCAGGGGACAGACAGGTCAGCTGGACATTTTCAGTAGAGTACCCTGGTCATGGGGTAAAAGCTGAACCTGTAGAAGGACAAGTGTGGAGGCAGGGACCATAGTTAGGAGACTGATGCAAGTATCTACCTGGAATGCAACAAAGGTCAGGACTCAGGCAGTGGGACAAAGGGCGAAAGTGAAAGCACAGACTTGAGAAAACTTCAGGAGATAAAGTGGCATGACTTTGTGGTTAGTTGGGTGTGTGGGGTTTAAAAAAAAGGGAGGAGAAATGGATACCCTGGGTCTTCCCTCAGTCACTACTGTCTCTCCCATCCAGACCACCCTTGTCTTTCCTCCCCCTTCTCCTGCAGACCCTCTCACCTGGCAGAGATACCCACTGGGCTGGGCCATGCAGGTGGCCCCGTGCTGGCAAGGCCTGGACTCACATGGGTTCACATGATCTTGGCACAGGCTGCCTTGGAATCCAGGGGGGCAGTGGCAGAAATAGGAGGGGCCACTGTCGACACAGAGGCCTCCATTCTGGCAAAGGGAAGAGACGTCTATGCCTAGGGAGAGAGACAAACAGGGATATATAAAGACCATTGGGGGGCCGGGCGCGGTGGCTCACGCCTGTAATCCCAGCACTTTGGGAGGCTGAGGCGGGTGGATCACGAGGTCAGGAGTTTCAGACCAGCCTGGCAAACATGGTGAAACCCCATCTCTACTAAAAATACAAAAAATTAGTCGGGCATTGTGGCGGGCGCCTGTAATCCCAGCTACTTGGGAGGCTGAGGCAAGAGAATCACTTGAACCTGGGAGATGGAGTTTGTAATAAGCCAAAATGGTGCCATTGCACTCCAGCCTGGGCTATAGAGCAAGACTCCATCTCAAAAAAAAAAAAAAAAAAAAAAAAAAGGTAAGTGGGGATGTGGCCAGGTGCTGTGGCTCACACCTGTAATCTCAGCACTTTGGGAGGCTGAGACAGGTGTATCACTGAGGTCAGGAGTTTGAGACCAGTCTGGCCAACATGATGCAACCCCGTCTCTTTTAAAAATACAAAAAAATAAAAATAAAAAAATTAGCTGGGCATGGTGGCACATGAATCCCGGCTACTTGGGAAGCTGAGGCAGGAGAATCACTTGAACCTAGGAGGCGGAGGTTGCAGTGAGCCGAGAACGTGCCACTGCACTCCAGCCTGGGTGGCAGAGTGGGACTCCATTTCAAAAAGAAAAAGATAAATTGGGAGGATGAAGGGTATATTCAGGGCCCAAACTCTGGGTGTAGAGGCCTTTACCTTGGGGACCATCTAACATTCCTGGGTGGAGGCCACTCTGGGCCCAAGGAGTTAATAACTCCTGGCACTGAAGAAATTAGAACATCGAGTTTTACCTCTCTCCTCACCTTTTCTGCCAGAATGTTGGAGACATACCTCTAAAGCTGATCGTAGTGTTAAAGTAACTGTGTTCTTGGCTTAAAATAAGGCTTGAGCAAGAAAGAATTCAAGGGATGCCTCAGGTGAGGACATGTGGCTTAAGTCTGTCCCCTGAGTTCTGCATTCCTTTGATGTTCTCTCCCTGTGATTCCCATCAGCTCTCCCTTAACTCCATCATAGTCTCTTTCCCGAGGTCTTCTCATATCAAACCTTATTCTCAGTATTATAGTTGCCTATAGGGCAGGTGCAGTTGTAGCCAGAGGGCTGGGGGTAGCAGGTCCCCCCATGGGCACAGGGTGCAGAGACGCAGCCCCCTAGCTCTGCCTCACACTCTGGCCCTGTCCAACCCATGTCACACACACATGAGGATCTGGTTGTAAAGAGAAAGGGGAGGGTTTTTCTCTTCTCCTACTGCATCTGCTCCCCTCCCTGCTGCCTGGACCCCATGACTTCCTCCTCTTCTTATTTTAGTGTTCTTTGTCAAAGAGGTTGGCGTGACATTGAAGTGAATGGGGTGGGGTGAAATGCGTTGAGTGTAGCTGGATTAAGTGTGGTCCACTCTGCCTGGGTTATGATGATCAGGACAGAGTTGAGTTGTTCTACGCTGAGTCATGTCCCTCATGGTTGGGCTAAACTGGAATCCTGTGGAATGGGCTCGTTGGTGTTGCTTGAATTGTGTTAAATGAGGTAACAGGAATTGCGTTAGGCTTCTCTGATTGCACAGTTCAACACCTGTGCAATCAAGAACTGATTTGTCTGTGTGGTTTTGATTCTCAGGTGGTTGTTTTGGCCAAAGGCTGTGTGGATGCCCGCAGGAATGGGGCAGGTGAGAACACCCATGTTTTCTTCATCTGCTCTCCAGTCAGTGCTGGGGTTGGTTGGTTGGTTACCTTGGTTCAGTGCAGCCTTCTGGCAGGAGGACAGTGGAAGGTTGCAGAGAGGCCCGGTCCATCCCTGGAGGCACAAGCAGTGGAAGGAGGGCCCAGTCTGGAGGCAGTGGGAATTGCGTGGACAGGGCTTCTGGGCACATAAGTCCATCAGAGTCTGAGGGGTGGGAGGGAGTGTGAGGCAGGACACAGCATTAGATTCCCAGCCCAGAGATGGTCCTCTGCTCACTCCAGCTCCTCGAAATCCCTTCCTTCAAAAACTCTCTCCTGAATGGCCTGGGACCAGGTGACCCTCCCTGGTTTCCCTCCCAGCCACTTCCCTCCTCAGCACACCTGGCTTCAATAGCCCTCACCTGGCAGCTACCTCCGGTGTAGCCAGTGGGGCAGAGGCAGCGGGGACCCTGAGGGCTGTCCTGGCAGGTTGCCCTATTCCTACAGGGGCTGAACAACACAGAGACAGGGCATGATAGGAAGAAGTTCGGGAAACAAGGGGAAGGTAGTGTGTGATGTTGTTGGGAGGCAACCACTGGGAGGTGGCAAGCCAGGAGGGAAGGCAGAACGAGGGGTGTGGGGTGGGAGGCAGCCTGGAGCCCAAGGGGAGATGAGAGGAGGGGTGGGAAGGATGAGGGGCTTTCTCCCTTCTAGGGGTCTTTGTGCCTTGCTCACCTGTCTGCACAACTGGGGCGGATCTTTCCCTCACAGCGCCGGCCCTGGAAGCCCATGGCACAGAGGCAGGAGAAGGTGCTGGGTCTGTTCACGCAGGTACCCCCATTGAAGCACGGGGCTGGAGAGAGGAGGCTGTGAGGGTTTGGGTTCCTTGCCTGTAACCTGACCTGTGACCTCAGTCACACTGTACATAGGACATACACCCCCCCGCAAAATGACAGCTCACTGCCATCCAATTAATTTTTTTTTTTTTTTTTGAGACGGAGTCTCGATCTGTTGCCCAGGCTGGAGTGCAGTGGCGCGATCTCGGCTCACTGCAAGCTCCGCCTCCCGGGCCGATGCCATTCTCCTGCCTCAGCCTCCCGAGTAGCTGGGACCACAGGCGCCCGCCTCCGCGCCCGGCTAATTTTTTGTATTTTTAGTAGAGACGGGGTTTCACCGTTTTAGCCAGGATGGTCTCGATCTCCTGACCTTGTGATCCACCCGCCTCAGCCTCCCAAAGTGCTGGGATTACAGACGTGAGCCACTGCGCCCGGCCATCCAATTAATTTTTATTTATTTATATAATACTTTATTTTTTTTTAGATAGGGTCTTGCTCTGTTACCCAGGCAGTGGTGCCATCACAGCTCACTGTAGCCTCAACCTCTTGGGCTCAAGTCATTCTCCCACCTCAGCTTCCCGAGTATCTGGGACTACAGGCCTCAGCCACTGTGTGCCCAGCTAATTTAGAGATGGAGTTTCATTATGTTTCTCAGGTTGGTCTGTCCAATTAAATTTTAAAAAATATGACACAAGCATACCCTCCCCAGTTCCTCCATTCTCCTGTGGCCCCCAGCCCCATGACACAGTGGGCACTCACCAGACACACAGTAGTCAGTGATGGTTTGGCACTGGGGACCTGTGTGGCTTGGAGGGCAAGTGCAGTAGTAGCCTCCAGGGCTAGGGTTGCAGGAGCCACCATTGAGACATGGCCCTGAGTGACAAGCTGTCATCTCCTCACTACAGGTAGGCCCTGAAGGAAACAGGTGGGGGCTGAGAAAAGGTGTCCTCCTTCACTCCCTCCACTCTCCTCCTCTTTCCTTTTCCTTCCCTTCCTCATCCCAAACCCTATTATTCTCTCCCATCAACCTCCTTTCTCACCACCTCCCACACATCACCTGTGTCCCCTGCAGCCCAGTTCTCCTTAGTGGTGACTGAGACACAGGGCCCATGGTCACCTGCCTTACCCTTGACTTAGGAGGTGACCAGCACAGGGTGTATATGGTTTAGGGAGGGTCTCACCTGTGTAGCCTATAGGGCAGGTGCAGTTGTAGCCAGAGGGCTGGGGGTAGCAGGTCCCCCCATGGGCACAGGGTGCAGAGACGCAGCCCCCTAGCTCTGCCTCACACTCTGGTCCCGTCCAACCCACGTCACACACACATGAGGATCTGGTTGTAAAGAGAAAGGGGAGGGTTTTTCTCTTCTCCTACTGCATCTGCTCCCCTCCCTGCTGCCTGGACCCCTATGACTTCCTCTTCTTTTGGCCCTGAGATTCTGGCCTCTTTCTTCAGTGACTTTGCTCTCAGCACCGCCCCCGTCCTCCCCAACACCTGCTCATTTTCTCCAACTAGATATGTGCATATATACGTTTATACATATGTGTATGTATATATATATTCTTTCTGTAACTTGCTTATTTTCTGTCTGTCTTCATTAGAATGAAAGCTGCACGAGAGCAGTGGCTTTGTCTCTTTTGCTTTGTGCTGTTCCCCCAAGGCCTGGAACAGTAGCCACACAAAGTAGGTGCTCAGCAGATTTTTTTTTTTTTTTTTTTTTTTTTTTGAGACAGAGTCTTGCGCTGTTGCCCAGGCTGGAGTGCAGTGGCATGATCTTGGCTCACTGCAACCTCTGCCTCTTGGGTTCAAGCAATCCTTCCGCTTCAGCCCCCCAAGTGGCTGGGATTACAGGTGCGCCACCATGCCCAGCTAATTTTTGTATTTTTAGTAGCTACGGGGTTTCACCATGTTGGCCAGGCTGGTGTTGAACTGCTGATCTCAGTTGATCCGCCCACCTCGGCCTCCCAAAGTGCTAGGATTACTGGCGTGAGACCGTAATCAGCACTGTGCCAGATATTTTTCTAATGAATGATTAATTTGCCCTGGGATTTAATGCTCTTCTTTCTGCTCTGATCCCCTGGTCCTCTGTTTCCACCAGTTTTTGGGGACTGTCTTCTCCTTGGATGACACTTACCAGTTGAGCCCTCCCACTGCCTCACCCTAAGAACTTTGCCATCTCCTTCCTTTTCCCCATTGGTCATTTCTCACAGACCTACACCTCACTGGCTGTCTTCTCCCGTCCTAGTGAAGGGAGCCCAAAGGAGGGGGCAGATGGGGAGGGCCTGGAAGATGTTACCTCTGGCAGTGCCCATGGTGGCAGGTGCAGTTGTCCTCAGGTGGGGCACAGCCAGGGCTTCCATCAGGACACAGACAGTTGGCCTTGTCTTTCTGGTCCTTACATATCTGCTTGGGCTGGCACAGGTTGGGAGCACACAGGGGAACCTCACAGAGCTGGCCTGGGGTGGGAAGATGGGTCAAAAAGAAAACAGCTCCTCCACATCCTTCATTGGGCCAAAGGCTACTTCTTATGCGTGCCTTAATCCCCATGAACTCATGAACCTGTCCTTCAATGGCTCCCTATTGCCTTTAAGATATTAACTTTCTCAGAATGATACACAGAGTCCTGCAGGACATGACATTTGTGCAACAGCTGCATTTCTCATCTTTGCCTTGCTGCACCCTTAACTCTGGCTTTCTTACAGTTCCTTAAATGGGGTGTGCGTTTCTTCCATCTGTGTCTTTGCACATGCAGTTATCTCCAGCTAAAACACGCTATCTGGCACTCTATTTAGACAAACTCCTTTCTTTCTTTCTTTCCTTCTTTTCTTTTCTTTTCTTTTCTTTTCTTTTCTTTCCTTTCCTTTTCTTTTCTTTTCTTTTCTTTTCTTTTCTTTTCTTTTCTTTTCTTTCTTTCTTTCTTTCTTTCCTTCCTTCCTTCCTTCCTTCCTTCCCTCCCTCCCTCCCTCCCTCCCTCCCTCCCTTCCCTTCCCTTCCCCTTCCTTCCTTCCCTCCCTCCCTCCCTCCCTCCCTCCCTCCTTCCTTCCTTCCTTCCTTCCTTCCTTCCTTCCTTCCTTCCTTCCTTCTTTCTCTTTCTCCCTTTCTTTCCCTCCCCTTCCATCCCCTCCCCTCCTCCCCTCCCTCCCTGCCTGCCTTCCGTTCTTCCTTCCTTCCTTCCTTCCTTCCTTCTTTCCTTCCTTCCTTCCTTTCCTTTCCTTCCTTCGTTTCTTTTTTTTTTTTGAGACGGAATCTTCCTCTGTCGCCCAGGCTAGAGTGTAGTGGTTCGATCTCAGCTCACTGCAACCCCTGCCTCCTGGGTTCAAGTGATTCTCCTGCCTCAGCCTCCCCAGTAGCTGGGATTACAGGCGCCTGCCACCACACCTGGCTAATTTTTGTATTTTTAATAGAGGTGAGGTTTCACCATGTTGGCCAGGCTGGTCTTGAACTCCTGATCTCAGGTGATCCACCTGCCTTGGCCTCTCAAAGTGCTGAGACTACAGGCGTGAGCCACCACACCTAGTCTCTGCTTATCTTTCAAGACTCATCTCAGCCATCACCTCCTCCATTTTTAGTCTGGGTTGGCTGGTCCTCTGTGCTCCTGTAGCATCCTGCACATTTTTCTCTTAGAGCACCTCTGTGGGCTATAATCAACAGGAGACTTGTTGGTCTCTCTGTATTAGACTTAAAGTCACGTGAGGATGGCAACTGTCTTACTCAGATTTGCCTCGTGTCTGGCATAGTAGGCACTTAGTAAGTGCTTACTAAATAAGCAAGTGAATGCCTTTTCTTTGAGCCCAGTCCTCTTCTCCCGAGCCCCAATCACACCATTTACATTGGGCCCATGTGGGCCCTACGGTAACCCCTGCCCTTGTCCCCATGGTTGTATGGTTGTACAATTGTGCAGGTTTTACACTAAATACTTTTAAAGGATACCATTCTCATTCTATTCTCACATCCCAACCATCAAACACCCGCCAATGAACTCTGCCCCAACCCAAATGGAATAAGATACTCTGCCAGTTCTTTCCAATGCCTCCCCTGCTAACCTGTGAAACCAGAGGGGCAGAGGCAAAAGAAGGCTCCTGGAAGATCAAGGCAGCTGGCTCCAACGGGACATGGGTCACTCAGGCACTCATCCACCTCTGTTTGACAGCGTGGCCCTTCAAAGCCTGTGGCACAGCAGGAAGGTCAGGAACCTGCACGGACATCTGCCTCCTGCCCCGCTGTCCCCCACAGTGTGTGCCCCAGTTTACCTGGGAGACACTTGCAGTGGAAGGCTCCAGGCTGGTCCTGGCACTGCCCACCATTGGCACAGGGAGAGCTGCTGCACTCATCAATATCCTCCTCACATCGGGTGCCGGCGAATCCTAGTGGGGTGGAATTGGGTGGGGAGAGGAGGCCAAGGTCATTGAGGGAGGCACAGCATGGAAAGGTGAACTTGCAGAGCTTCCCAGAGAAGACACCTGGGGCAGGTGGGTGTGGGGTAACAGGAGAGTGATGCGGAAAAGGTGAAGCTCAGCCTCCTGCCAGCTGTGTGACTTTGGGAAAGCTGGTCCACCCTCTCGGCCCCAGTTTCCTGTTCTGTGTAAAAGGGGAATAATAATGGAACCTACGTCATGGTATTGTTAAAAAGATTAAATGACATAACGCCTGAAAAGTACACAGCCAAATGGCTAGTCTGGAGTAAGTGGTGAATGAATGTAGTTACTATAGTAGCAGGGGACAGAAGGGCGTCAGGTGAGGCTGGAGAAGAAAGGCTTGGGGCAGCTTTCCCTGGGGTTATGATGAGAGTGCCAAGACCAGCCTGGGACCTCAACATGCATACACAGAGCCTGTGCGGGAGGGCTGGAAAGGAGGGATCGTTGGGTGATTTGGCAGGGCAGAGATGAGAATGGGCAAGTAAGCAAGGGAAGATTTGGGGATGTAACAGTAGAGATTTTGGGGAGCAAAGACAGATTTGGAGGACTCTTTGGCTAGTCTAGAGAGAGCTTCAAGGGGCCTTGGGTGATTGCTGGGCCTGAACTCTGCAGGTTCAGAGGCCTGGGGTCTGAGGGTGGCCAGAGTGGCATCTGTACTCACCAGGCAGGCAGATGCACTGGAAGCCATTGAGCAGGTCATGGCAATCCGCATGGTTCAGGCAGGGATCTGAGGCACACTCATTGGTTTCCACCTCACAGAGCTGCCCCTCTAAGCCTGGGGACATGGGGATCATGAGGGCTGTGGCTCAGCCAGGTCTGCCTGGGAGACCTGTACTCTAGAATCAGCCCTGCTCCCGACGCGCTCAGGCGGTCCTCCCCTGAGGTGCTGTCTGCATGGGGTTGAACAAGATGAACCCTGAGGCCCTGCTGCTCCTCAGTGTGTGGCCCTGCTCCTTGAGGTGTGAAAGGCTAAGAAACAGGGTGCTTGCTGGGGACCTGGGGGAGGACTGCAAGGCTTTTTTGTGGTCATTCCTGTGTATACAGAGGGCGGGGCTCACCAGGGCAGGCTGATCAGCCTGGAGGACCTCGAGGTACAAATAGGACAAATTGGCTTGGAGAACGAGTCCCGCCTCTTTTTCTGCCTGGGCGGGCCTCCATGCCAGGGAGAACGGAGATCCCAAAGTGGAGGAATTTGAAGTGCATCTGGGAAGCTTGTTGCTCCCATATTTGTCCCGTTGCTTTGGGTGCATCCTAGTCTCCACTCTCTCATCCTGAATTGAGGCAGGATCAACCTCCGGACCTTGTCTTCCTGTCTTTTCTGGCCTGAGGAGTCTGCTTCTGAAGCTCCTTGATATCTACAACGTTGTCCCTTGGGTTACCGACCCGTTTTCTCTTATTTTTCTATGATTGTCTGTGGGATGACCTGAGCCAGTATCTTTGGGTGCCGCTCAGTTTAGAAAGGCGATATGGGGTAGTGGTTATAATTGTTGAAGCCCTTGGTTTGAATCTCAGCTCTGCCAGTTGCTAGCTGGGTGGCCTTGGACAAGTCACTTAACCTCTCTGTGCCTCAGTTTCTTCAGTTATAAAATGGGCATTGTAGCAGTGCTGACCTCACAGGGTTATTGTAATAAGTAGACGAGACAATGCCTGTAAGATGCTCAGACAGTACCTGGCATAAAGTCGGCTGTTATTTTTCTGATTTCATTCAACTCCTTGATGTTGCTCTCTCCCGGGGGTGACTTTTCCCCATTAAAACTAACCTGGAGGTGGGTGCAGTCTTGCAGCAATTTTTTTCTTGTTGTACCACATTTTCCTGTTGTATCACAGGGCTTTTGGGATTTTAAGGGATTACCTTTCATCTCTACATGGGAGAGTTTCTATGATTAGAGGGAGCATTCTGGGGTGACCTGAGTAAAGGCTGCAGCACGGGAAGTTTATGAACTGCTTTTCTACCCTCTCTTGCTGGGCTGCTCTGTACAGTGGACCAGGTTTTGCAGCCTCTATGATGACTATGAAATGAATGGTAGCTCCCTCCAGAGTTGAGGAATGCATAACCTCGCTACCATCTGTGGTAACCTTTATCCTAGGGGTCATGGGTGTCCGTGAGTTTTTATCTGGGGGTAGAGAGAGAAGCATCTGTGGTAACTTACCCAACTGGCCTGAGGCTGTCCTTACTTTGGAGGGGACATTCCTAGTGGGTTCAGGACTATTTCCCTGTTTTCCCCACCCAAGGTCCCATCCAGCTGGTACCTGGTGGGCAGAGGCAGTGGAAGGTGGCAAGTAGGTCCAGACAGGTGCTCCCTGGGTGGCAGGGCTGGGAGAGGCACTCATTGTGATCAGCCTCACAACGGGAGCCCGTGTAGCCAGGTGGACAGAGGCAGTTGAAGGAGCCAGGAGTGTTGAGGCAGGAACCGCCATGTTCACAGGGACTTGGGCCTTGCTGGGCTGGGAGGAGAGAAAAGCTGGGAGTCCACAGGGGTCAGGGCGGGAAGGGCAAGGAGGTCAGACTCTCAGGGAAGGTGTGGGGGCCTGCATGTGGCAGAAGAGACCAAATTGGTGAAGGGGCTTGTGTCTTTAAGATGGAGAGGAAATAAGGGACCAAATTTATGGGAACTGAGGGGCTGAGCATTGGAGAGAGGGTCATGCAGGCAAGAGATGCCAAATCTGGGCAAATTCAAGGAAAAAGATGTTTGGTTTTTTTTTTTCTTTTGAGACGGAGTCCGCTCTGTCGCCCAGGCTGGAGTACATTGGCGCAATCTCGGCTCACTGCAATCTCCGTCTCCCGGGTTCATGCCATTCTCCTGCCTCAGCCTCCTGAGTAGCTGGGACTACAGGCACCCACCACAGCGCCCAGCTAATTTTTTGTATTTTTTTTAATAGAGACGGGGTTTCAATGTGGTCTCGATCTCCTGACCTTGTGATCCGCCCGCCTCGGCCTCCCAAAGTGCTGGGATTACAGGCGTGAGCCACCGCGCCCGGCTGATGTTTGGTTTTTTAATTGGAAAAGCAATCTGCCCTTTTCTGTCTTCAGTGCAGAGGCCTGTCTGAGGCTCAGAGAGGCTCTGAAGTGGGAGTGGCCTCACCCATTACACACTCATCCAGGTCCTGGTGGCAGGTGGGCCCTGAATAGCCGGGCTGACACAGGCAGAGTGTGGAGCCTGTGAGGGGGTTGGTGCTGCACTGGGCATCCCCATGGCACGGCTGGCTCAGACACATGTCTTCCAAGTGGCACAGGAGCCCTAGAGGGATAAGAGCAGGTGAGGCTCTCAGAGGCCACTTGAGGCTCCTAGCAGCCATCCTGGTGCTTCTCTCGCCCTCCTTCTCTACCTCCCACCTCCTGATACCCTCTACCCCCATACCTGTGCGTCCAGGTGGGCAGAGGCAGGAGAAAGAGCCCACCCGGTCAATGCAGGTGGATCCTGGGGCACAGGTGGCAGCAATACAGTCATCCAGGTTCTCCTCACAGCTTGTGCCCCCCCAGCCACTCACACACACGCAGTGAAAGCTGCCCGCAGAGTTCTGGCAGGTGCCGCCGTTTCTGCAGTGAGGGGGACCCTGGGCCTCACACTCATCCACATCTTCGGAGCAATCCCAGCCTGCAGGGGGTTGAGGAGGGGACAGGGGCTGAAGCTGGGAGCCCTATGAGTAGGGGAGGCCAGGGGCCAACTCTCTGGGCTACGCGTGCCATGAATGTGGCTTAAACAACTCACCTGTCCAGGTTTCTGGGCAGAGGCAGGTGTAGGTGTCCAGCCCATCCCGGCAAGTGCCCCCATTCTGACATTGGTGGTTGACACAGTTGTCTGGATTCACCTCACAGTCTGGGCCTATGAAACCTGACAGGGTCGTGGGATCAACTGGGGGAGGAGGCTCCAAGGGAGACATCCTGCCCTGCCCAGAGAGAGGGGCTGCAGGAGAGCCCCTGTGAGGACACACCTGGGGGACAGAGGCAGAGGTGAAAGGTGGAGTCTTTCCCTGGCATCAGCTGGCAGGTGCCCCCATTCGAACAGCCCCTAGGAGGGCAGGGTCCTGCCCGGAGCTCACAACGTGGGCCCTCCCGCCCCACAGGGCAGAGGCACTGGAAGGAGCCCAGGGTGTTATGGCAGGAGGTGCCTTTGGGGCAGGGTCCTGGGTCCTGGAAGCACTCGTTGACATCACGTTCACAGGCATGGCCCTCGAAGCCCGGTGGGCAGCGGCACTGGATCTGGGGGTATGTGGCCAGACACACCCCTCCATTAACACATGGGTTGGCTGAGCAGAAGTCCCGAAGCTGGCACTGCTCACCTGAGGCAGAGGACAGAGGGAGCCGTTTCTAGCACTGTGTGAATTCTAGCCCATCTGAGGTTACCCAGTGCTCACTCTGGATTATCTCTGGGTCTCATTTTCATATTTCCTTCGCTTTATTACCATACTCTCTTTGCTCTGTTCCATCACCCCTGATCTCAGTGTTGCCATGGTTTGGGAGGGTTTATCTGGAGCGACCATATCTTCTAAAGTGATGATGAGAGTATTGGAAATTGTCCTTGCCTGAGAAAATCTGGCACATGGGTGATCTGGGGGGAGGTGAAAAGCACCCCACGTCTGCAGACAGGAGACTCAGGTGGCACCTTGCTGTGCCACAACTGGTTGTATACCCTTGGGTGAGCCACTTTGCCTTTCTGATCCTGGTTTCCTCATCTTTAAGTGGGTTTAGGCACCTGGAGACTCACTTCACAGTCCATGCGCACCAGTGGTAATGGTGGCCGCCGTGGAGGTGCCAGGTACTGAGCTGAGCAAGCACTTCCTGAGCATCGGCCCCTTGTGTCCTCTCAGCAACCTTATGAAGTGTGACCATTACTCTCCCTGTTTGTCAGCTGACAACTGAACACCAGAAAGCTAAAATATCTTATACGAGGTCATGTAGCTGGTCAGTGGCAGAGCTGGCATTTGGATCCAGGGGCTGTCGCAGAGCCCCTAGTCTGAAGCACTAAACTTGCCCCAGGGTTACACTCCTCCTCCTGGGGTGGCCCCACTCCTCTCTCTGGGTCACATCCCTCCCTTCCCGGTGCCTCTCCCACCACTGCAGTCTTCCCAGGTGATATTATGGCTCCCTCCACTCAGAATGGGAGCCATTCAGATGCTCAGAATGCAAAAGCCTGGAAGACCCCTGTATGCCGAGCAATGAGCCTCTAGCTGCTAGGCAGCAGGGAGATTAAGGGGGCTAGGATAGGCATCAGGATGGTGCACAAAGGGGGCTCATGGCACCCTTAATTTGGAAATATTTTAACATTTTAGCTATCAGTACAACCCTGCTGGTGAATGTGGGTCGTGGAGAATTGGCATGTTGATTCTCATGGCTTGTCTTCAAAGGGCTTGCAGTTTCTCAGGCTCCAGTTCCATCTTCCCCACCCACAGCCTAGCCCATTGCTCCTGCCTGTCCCCTCCTGGCTGCCCCCAGCAGCGCTTACCTGTCCATCCAGGCATGCAGGAGCACTGTGGGCGGCCTGAGGCCTGGATGTGGCAGTGGCCCCTTTTGGAACAGAAGGAGGGAGGACAAGGATCTTCAAGCTGGGCCTGGCATCTCTCGCCAGTGAAGCCAGGGAGGCAAGTGCACGAGAAGCTGGGTGCCAGTGGAGAGGGAGAGCTGGGGGGCCCTAGGGGAGCGGGAAGCAGGGCTTGGCAGCTGCCTCCATTCTGGCAGAGCTGGGCATTCTGGCAGGGGTCAGGAAACTGGCACGTCTCACCCAGGAAGCCAGGGGCACACCTGGGCAGGGGAGGAGAGGAAAACTCATATCACTGGTCCCTCTTCCCATTCTCGCCCACCTCCCTCCTCTGCCTTCATTTGTTTCCCTTCATCTCCTTCACTTCCTCCCTTTCTTCTTTGGTCTCACTTCCTCACCTCTCCCCCCGCGCTCTCCCTCCCCCTTTCTCTCCAGTCTCCCACCCCTGCAAGGCACACTCACTGGCAGGTCCCTTGTCCCAGAGACAGGCTCAGGCAGGTGCCTCCATTGGCACAGGGTTCTGGGAAAGTCCCACACAGCAGCCCTGAGGGTGGAGAGGCAGGCGCGATGGAAGCCCTGGGTGCCGTGCCTCCACCTTTCCTCTTCCGGGTGCTCCTGAGAGACCTGCCCGCAGCAGCTCCCTCAGGTGCTCTAAACCACCTCTTCTTCACACCTGTCCCCACTCTCCACATGGTACCCAGCCCCAGCCCCAGTGCCCTCCATCCCAGTTACTAATCCCCATCCCCCTTTCCTGTTTATTCTCTGGCCTCCTGAGTCCAGCCTCGGACTCCATCTCTCGGAAGCAAGACAACAGGGGTCAGAAGGGGGGCGGAGGTGGCTCCCGGGAGGTGAATGGCTGAGACTTCGAAGAGATTTCCTCCCGGAAAGGCCCAGCATTGAGCCATCCGGGGGGTGGGGACAGCTGGACTCAGAAAGGGACTTAGTAGGCCTGACCTTTCATGTCCTCATCTGCTTCCCTCTCATCTCTTCCCCAAGCAGGTGGTCAGTGTGTTCCCTCTTCCCCTCTTCCCTATGGCTGCAAGAGTCCTCCAGTGCTAGTGCTGATGAGGTTCTTCCTGGAGGTGGGCACCCTCTCACCCATCCCCCGGCAGTCACTACCCCTGGCACCAGGCCCAAAGCAGGTCCACGGGAACAGCCGTTTTTCCCTGCAGGCCGTTTCTATTTGGGCAGTGAGAATCTCTTCCACCCAGTGTCCCTCACACAACCTGGGGCTTGGCCCTCTTCCCCCACCCCACTGGACATCCTCCTATGGGAAATGGGTCCCCCACCTCACCCACACCATGCCTCACCTCTGGTTATGACCACTGAGACACATAACAGCAGCAGCAGCAGCAGCAGTGAAGGGGGCTGCATTCCAGAGCCCCTTCTCCAAGCCCAGGTCCCTGTCCCTCTTCAGGCGGGGACCCTCAGAGCCCTCACTGAGGTAGGAGCCACCTCCTCTGCTCCCACTGCCCCTCTTCCTCCTCCTCGGCCTGCTGCAAGCCTCACGTCTGAGCTGTTTCCTGAGTCACACAATGTCCTGGACACCCTAGTAATGGGGGGCGGGGGAAGAGTGGAGGAACACTAGGGGGGATGAAGGAGGGGCCTTCTGTCCCTGACAACCCCTGGGGAAGTAGGGGGAAGTAGGACAGTGTGCCTGGAGGGCAGGTGATAGGAGGGGAGAAGGACTCTCGGAACCCCCGGGGCAGTCCCAGCCCTGCTGTTTGTTGATCTGGTCTCTCCTTTCTAGGGATGAGAATTGCAAGGTGGCTGCCCCTGTGCCCCAGGAGGGGCAGGATCTGGAAACAGGTATTGGGTGGTTAGAGAGTTCTGTATTCCCCTTCCCAGGAGAGGATGCTTAATTTGTCAGGTTATTACAGATGCTTATCAGAGAACCTGCAACTTGTCATAGTTTGAAACCACTCACCTTGGCAAAAGGAACCCAGGGGGCTTCTGGGCCTTATCTTGGCTCTTGCCAGGACTTATTTTTCTCCTTCTGGGGAACAGGCAAGATGCTGGCTGGTTTGGGGAAATCTTGGTCTTCCTGTATAGGGGAATGTTAAGACTGTCGTTATCAGTGATAAATGAACATAGTGCACCCTAAATTTTGCAGTCTGGATTATCTGTAACTTATCACTGAATTTGGGTAGTTTTCACTTCCTCCATCTCTGCCTCCCTCCACTGCAGAAGTCGTTGGGATGTAGGGAATGTCAGTCAGAATGCAAAACTGGAGTAAATAAAATCACAAAAGCGAATTCTTTGCCTCCAAATGCTCATCCTATCTTCTTGAGTCAACCCAGGACAACTTTGGGGTCAACCACACACTGAGTTCCTCTAGTAGCACAGGGAACTGAGAGTCCAGGGTGGCAGAAGGTGTCACTGGCAGCTGTGCTCTCCCTGGTGTTGAGGCACTCACGGTTGCTGCTGGTGTACCTGAGAACTTTCCCCTACCGGGGAACATACTTCACCAGCACCGCTTTCTTCCTTTTTTTTAAGTTTTTTATTTTGAAATACTTTAAATCTCATGGGAAACGGGCAAGAATACTAAAAAGAATTCCAGGATACCCTTCACTCAGATTCATCCACTAACATCATTTGACCACATTTACTTTATCATTATTTCTCTATAAATACACATTTGTATTTTTTTCTGAACCATTTGAGAGTAAGTTGCATACAAGATACCCCTTTACCCTTAAATCCATCAGTGCGAATTTTCTAAGAACAAAACATTCTTTTACATAATACAGTACAATTATCCAAATCAGGAAACTTAGACTGATGTGATACTAATTGACGGTCCAAATTCAGGTCTTGCCAATTGCCCCATAATGTCCTTCATGACAATTTTTTTCCTTTGGTCCAGGATCTCATTTGGCATCCTGCATTGCATTTAGTTGTCGAGTCCTTTCAGTTTCCTTTAATATGAGTACAGTAACTTAAATATACTTTGCCTTTCATTACATTGACTTTTTTTTTTTGAGACAGTTTTGCTTTGTCCTCCAGGCTGGACTGCAGTGGCATGATCTCAGCTCACTGCAACCTCCACTTCCCCGGTTCAAGCAATTCTCATGCCTCAACCTCTGGAGTAGCTGGGATTACAGGTGCCCACCACCACACCCGGCTGACTTTTTGTATTTTAGTGGAGACGGGGTTTCATCATGGTACCCAGGCTGGTCTCAAACTCCTGAGCTCAGGCAATCCACCCATCTTGGCCTCCCAAAGTGCTGGATTATAGGCGTGAGCCACCGCACCTGGCCGATATTGGCATTTTTAAGCATACGGGTTAGTTGTTTTGTAGACTGTTCCTAAATTTGAGTATGTCTGGTGTTTATGCATTTTTGGGCACGAGTACTGTACCAGTGCCTCACTCATGGAAGCCCATTAGCCAGCATCATTTATAATGGTCGCCCAGTATTCTACTAGTTCATTTAAACCAATTTCCTATTATAGCATGTTTAGGCAGGTCTCAATTTGCTTTTTGTTTTTTTAGAGACAGGGTCTTGCTCTGTCACTCAGCCTGGAGTGCAGTGGCACGCACATAGCTCACTATAACCTTGAACTCCTGGGCTCACAGTATTCTGCTGCCTCGGCCTCCCAAAGCTCTGAGATTGCAGGTGTGCACCACCACACCCAGCCTTCAACTTTTAAACATATAATAAACTGAGCTGCGGTAAATATTCTTTTCTTTTTTTTTTTTTTTTTTAGATGGAGTCTCCCTCTGTTGCCCAGGATGGAATGCAGTGGTGTGATCTCGGTTCACGGCAACCTCTGCCTCCCGGGTTCAAGCTAATCCTGCCTCAGCCTCCTGAGTAACTGGGATTACAGGCATGTGCCTGGCTGATTTTTGTATTTTTAGTAGAGACAGGGTTTCACCATGTTATCCAGGCTGGTCTTGAACTCCTGACCTCAGGTAATCTGCCCACCTCTTTCGGCCTCCCAAAGTGCTGGGATTACAGGTGTGAGCCACTGTGCCTGGACCTTTGGTAAATATCCTTGAACTTAACATATTTGCATGGCTGTCTAATTATTTCCTTAGGCTAAATTCTAGAAGTGAAACCACTGAGTGAAAGAGTGAAGGCATAGACTTGTTTTAAAGCTCTTGGTCTCTAAGTGTTGCCAAGCCATTCTCCAGAAAGCAGTGCAGGCCTTTCTCCTCCAGTTAGTAGTGTCTGCCTGTGTCCTTACGCTCGCCAACCCTCCGCATTAGAATCCTCACCACTTTGATAGATGAAATGGTCTCTTACTGCTGCTTTAAATTGCACATTAGTTGTTAAGTGTCAACATTCTTTTTAACTGTTTAATGGCTATTCGTGTTTCCTGTCCACGCTTTTGTGAGTTTCCTGTCCATGCTTTTGTCCCATTGTGCTATTGGTGTCATTGTCATTTTCCCATCACCTTCCTTAGTTGAGGAGGCAACTGTGGGTGTGGGGAAGAGTAATCCTAGCGTAAAAGTCCCTGCTTTTGTACTCTCTGGTTTGCTGACTGGGGATTTGGTGTTGGTGAGTAGTAAAAGGAAAATAGGAAGAGACAACAGGTTTCTCGTGGAACCATGAAGACCTTGGTGGAAAGAACTGAACTCACCATTTCTGCAATGTTGACAATCTAACCCCACTTGTGGAAAAGGAGGCTGGGGCACTAGGCTGGAGCTTGAGAAAAAGAAGAAATTGCAACGGAGACAGATAAGAAGTGGTTAGGTGGAAGGGGAACCAGAAGTGTGGTGGGGCAGAAGCTGAGTTTAAAGACAGTGTCAGGAAGCTGCCTTCCCACTTCTTGCTTTATCCTGCTTAAGTAAGGCAGTGTGCACCTGCTCAGGCATTATGAGCTATGCTTGGGTCCCAGATACCTTTCCTGGCCCCTAAGACCTCATAGCCCAAAGCAGTATTGATGCTCCCCCAAGAGCTTGTTTCTCCTTCCCAATGGCTTCCCAAGGGTTGATACTGACCAGGGTGAACTGCAGCATGCCAGGGACACAGATAGTTCCCTCTGGGAAATGACCCTTTTTCCTACAGTATTTCATCAAGTAGAGATTCTTTTTGTTAAAGGGATTTTCTTTCATTGTATACCCCCTGAGAAGGATAAACCTGGCAGTCATTCACACTTCAGTCATAGGGACTTGTGACCTTAAAAGGTTAAATCCGAGGTTGGCCCTGATAATGTGTCCAAACACAAAGAAGGCAACAGGTCACTGTAGCCATAGAGATAAGCAAGAGTGTCGGGTGCAGCGGTGGCTCATGCCTGTACTCCCAGCACTTTGGGAGACCAAGGTAGGAGAATTACTTGATCTCAGGAGTTCAAGACCAGCCTGGGAAACATAGGGAAACCCCATCCCTGTGAAAAAAATACAAAAATTAGCAGGCTGTGGTGATGCACACCTGTTGCCCCAGCTACTCAGGAGGCTGACGTGGGAGGATCACTTGAGCCCAGGAGGTTGAGGCTGCAACGAGCCATAATCATGCCACTGCACTCCAGCCAGAGTGACAGGGTGAGACCAGAGTGAGAGGAAAAAAAAAAAAAAAAAAGAGAGAAATCGGCAAGAATAATCCACTCTTGGAGATTATTTGTAAATATATGGTTCAGGAGATGTGGAGCCCCTCGTTGCCCCAGGCCCCTCCCTCTCTGGCTCCCTGTTAGTTACTCTTCATCTCCCCAACCTCTTACCATTGTAGTGTCCATGGTTATTCCCTGGGCCTCTTCTATTTTTCTGTCTCCCTAGGTGATCTCATCCAGTCTCCTGGCTCCCTACCAGATTCAGATACCATCTATGAAGACCACCTTTGTGCTGACGACTCTCAAGATCATACACTTCCTGGAACTCCAGACTTGTACTTCCAATACAAGTACCACGAACTTAATATGTCCAGAGCTGACCTGATCTTCTCCCTGAACCTTCTCTTCCTTCCTGATACAATTGAGTTTTGCAGTTCTATTATTTCCATTGTTTAGGCCCAAATCCTTGAAGATATTGCTGACTCCTCTCTTTTTCTCATACTCCACATCCAAACTGTCTTAAATCCTATGGACTCTACCTTCAAAATATGTGTATCTGGAATCTGAGCACTTCTCATCTCTTCTCATCTCCACTGCCAATACCCTAGTCCAAGCCAGTGTCATCTCTTGCATCTCCTAACTTGTCTTCCTGCTGCTGTCCTTGCTCTCCTTGTCCATATCTCTACACAGCAGCCAAAGTGAGTAAGTTGAAATACAAGTTAGACCACCTCATTCCTCTGCTCAAAACTCTCCAATCACTTCTCCACTCACTCAGAGTAAAGCGAACTTCCTTACAGGGCCTGCAAGGCTCTACACAAGGCCCTTCCCTCTCTCTCTCTCTCTCTCTCTCTCTTTTTTTTTTTTTGTTGTTGAGATGGAGTCTTGCTCTGTGGCCCAGGCTGGAGTGCAGTGGTGCAATCTCGGCTCACTGTAACCTTCACCTCCCGGGTTCAAGCGATTCTCCTGCCTCAGCCTCCTGAGTAGCTGGGACTACAGGTGCGTGCCACCACGCCAGGCTAATTTTTTGTATTTT